CCTTTTGGTATAGCTTCCCTTCCGGATGCTGACAGACCCTTGGAGCCACATCACACATGAGCGTCTGTTGCCGGGGGTCCAATCGAGTAGTGCAGCTTCGATTCTATCATTGAGTACAATACCGACGCCACACTGTCCTACTGAGCGGGCTTCGTCATCACTTTGACGCGCGGAAGAAGAACCGCGATGCAGAACCCCGGTGCACTTAAGTGGTTTATAGTGCTAGAATCCTGGATGTGAGTCTCCAATACGCAACAGACGTCAATCCCCAAAGAGTCCATTGTGCGCGCCAGACATGCTTGCAACAGAATCCTCATGTTGAAAGACCCCAGATTCAGTGGTTGACGAGGCTTCAGAATTTGTAATTTATTTTGTGGTAAACTACTTACCGAGCTACTTGGCAACAAACTTTGGCGGGTGAAGAACAATTTGTCTGAGGGAATGTTACGAGTTGGAAGAAAGGGTAAAGGGAGAGGGTTGGGCAAGGAAGATAGAGAGTTAAACTAAGGTTGGGATATCTGAGCAATAGCCCACTTATCACCCCACTCGATGCGATGGGCAGCGCGGTCCTGATTATCCTGTGCGATGACCGATGCAGTATGGAGTTATTTTGTTTGTGTATCCATGTTCGGTCGTGAAAACCGGTGACTCCATTGAACGACTAAGACTATACGCTATGTTTGCGTAGCGTTGAGGTACGTACCACTAAAGCTGGGTGGTGTTTTCGGGGTCTGAGTATACACCATTGGTCATGACCATCACCCAAAAGAAGCTACATTAAGGTTGACTGAATAATCGCGTACCGCACTGCTTGACTTGTTTTCCTCCTTTTCTTATGGTTTCTCTGCGCATCCACAAGTGTTAGATCGGACTCCTTGTGACCCATTAACCGAAACATTGAAAATACAACACGGTTTGGTAAACAGAGTACCCTTCAAGTGTAGAAAACAGCACTCCACAATCCGAAACAGTTCCGGCTAATTTAGAACTAGTTAGACCTATTCCCGTGTTCGATTTCCCCAGACGGCCTTCGTATGACCGTGGCTTTTTCATAACCATCGACCGTGCGCTTATTCACAAATAAGCCACTGAGGCAAAAATAGTTGCTCAAGAAAAGCAGGTGCGCACGAGCGCCATTTTCACGATCTTCAACTAAAGCAGCATTGGTAATTCTCCAAACTTCAGTTTGTGGCATGAGCGATTCCTGGTATCGGCCTCCATACTATACCACGTGTAGATTTTCGGAATAAAGTCACTTATATTCTGGGAAGACTCCTCTATAGTGATCATCCCTGCAATCATTATCACCGTTCCGGATTTTCAAGAAAATATTCTTCCTTTCAGGGTTGTATTGGTGAGATATCCGACAAACTTCGCGAACGATACTTCATCATTTACGTTGTCGCGCTTTCGCTGATACTTGTGGAGGTAAGTTTTGCGACATTCATTAGCAATATAACCATTTATTAACAACCATGAACTGACGAGATAAATGTTTTTATTGCATTTCAGTTCTTTGGTGTTATTCTGGCATGCTGCTACTCCAAAGCCCCGAAGAACCGACGTTGACGCACCCACCCAACCAAAAAACCGCACACCCACGGCACCGCAGCTAGACCACGAGCTTTGCTTTTGATTTATATCATTTATATGCTTATTATATCTTGTACAGCTACCGCCATTATAAAAGCATTGAAGTAAATATGTATAAATTTTTATTGCATTGTGGACAAGTACAATAGTTTGAACAAGATGGTATCAGTCGTGACAGTGAAATGCGACAAGCCCTGTGGACATCACATGTCTCCGTTGTATTCCGCACGGATTTCGGCACCATATTCACCGTACTGGCGCATCATGTCATCACGCCCCCGATCTCGACCGCGTTTGTAGCCTCTGTCGTGGTCAGGACTGCGGTGTCTGCGATGGCGATCACGGCTACCTGTAAAAATGAAATAGACTGTGACAGAATCGCTATGGATTTGAGTTTGGCACACGCGTTGTAGAAAAAAATAATAGTGGGTGTGCGGCGAAATTCCGGGAGAATCGATTCGGCAGCACCGACCTCTACACGAGGTACACTGCACCAC